TTATCCCGCACAAATTGGATTCTGCTACTTTGAAAAAAAATATACGAAAATCCAATTAGAAATTTTTATTGGAACGTTTGACGTGACACAATTGTGCGCTTATTAAAAACTGCGGAACCATTATCAGTTTTCACTATGAATTTTAAATGGCAAGCTATTATCATCCACTCGATACGATCAAACGGGCGTTAAAAATAGTTCGTCAGTTCCCAGGGCTGCTACACTCGCATTATTCAAAACACCCTGCTGCTTGTTAAAGTTAAAATTCATGAGGACCGTGCAGGGACAGTGAGCATATATTTCATGGAAGGCGACAGCCCTACTTTTATGATATCACGTACTACGTTAATGTAGCGGGTAAAGTTTTTTATGTTAATAAAAAGCGAGGATTTTATCAAAAAAGTTACGATTGGATTATTTTGTGAATCATACCGAAATAAAATAATATCTTAACATGTGATATTACCGTTCGTATGTTTGTGCAAAATTATTTGCTATTCCAATGCGAAATAAGGGAATGACTCAACATGTACTAAGATTGCACAGCGCAAGTGGTGGTCGGTGTACCGAGCTGGCTTGTGCAAAAATTAAGCAATATAAGTTCAACTTTCACATCTGCCAGCGAGGTTATTTACATAGCTCTTACCCATCCCAGCTTTTAATATCTTCAAAAATGTTCCACGACACAATATTTGCAGAAAACTTCTATTCATAAGTCTCCCATAATTTTGGTGTAGACTAAAAATGTTTTCGAAGCGCCGCCTAATCTTTAATATTGAATGACAACACATAAAACTTGTTCAATATACCCTAGAGAAATGCAAATCCCTTGTCCTTTGTAAATAAATAATGTATGAAGCTTCGAAAGCACGTCGAAAGATAAAAGTGACGCCGATGTTTATTATTTACGGGAGCAATCAAGTTGCTTCGTAAAAGTGACGAAACGTGTGGATGCTTAGAACTAGTGCTGGACACATCTGTAAAAACTACCGACTTTTGATCCGTTGAAACTGAGTAACGTGTTTGTGAGGGAGGGACTTTTTGTATGACATTTTGACAGTCGTAAAGCTTACTACGGGTTCAAATAGAATTTGCCTTACACGAAATTGACGCCTCAATGTGCAGTGAACGAAATGTTACTGGCAAAAAGGGGCTTTAAGAATTCTATGTACCTTTTACGATGACAGGTTACTTATTATTTGAAGTCTATAACTTTGAATTTGTCAGCCAACTGCCCAATATTATGGTTGAGGCATCTATAATTCAATAGAATCATCAGTCCTTAGGGTGGTCATATATAAACAAGAATTAGTGCAGCAGGCAATCCCTTGTCAATCAATGGTCATGCCGTGAAACCGCGGGAAAACATACATTAGGGTAGGGTGACACGGAACGATTTAAGTAATTTAATCGTTGCAAATGTTCTGAAAATAAAATGGAACTTTTTTTAAGGGAACGCTGATGTCATGACGTATGCTCTTGTAGTTGAATTTGATTTTACTTTTCACTAAATAATATTTTCTTCTGTTATATGTATATTTATTCAACTTTGCTTCGATTTATTGACAAGCGCTGTTATAGACGCTGAGTTTCGTACACGACCTACGCAACTGTCATGTTATTCAGTAATCCGTCACCTACACGTATGTATTCGGAGCGGAACGGGACGCATAATGCTAATGCCAGCAATCTAACCACTCGGCGCGAATCCCCACATTTCCACTTTAGGCCCTATGTTCGCTATTACGAATAAATTTTCGATTAGATTTCGCGAATTTGAATAATTCCAGCTCGAGTTATTCGGAGTTTATTGACGGCTTTTTATGTTGGATGGCATATTTTTTTACAAATTCCGGGAATTTGCGATGTTTTTCTGTGCTTTTTTTGCACGACGATACGATGTTTCTCTTGTGCATATAAATGGAAGTGCTTATGAATATTTTTACGCTTACGACGCAATAATAACATTACAAAACTGGAACTCACTTGAAAAACCCCTAGAATCATACCATAATCTTGTTTTGTTTCGTTTTTATCAACGTACCGAGACGATAATGTTGTTTTAAACACTTAACAGTTAATTTATCGGATAAAATATCACAATTACTCCCCGGAATGGAAACAAAGCACCTAGTTAATAAGATAATTACAAGACACAAGAGTTAATAACATAGTACACATATTAATTAGCAACCTGTCTTCCACACATCCGATAGAGCTGAGAAATATGTCGTATCCGAATTTCATCGATATCACGGTTCACGTCTCTATTCCGTGACGTCACACGTGATGACGACGAATTCCCGCTCATGTAATATTAATTATGAATTGAATACAATCTTCGCGACTAAGACGATTACATCGTCTTGATAGCGTCACACGCCATCCCAAATTGGCGCCATTAAAATTCAACGGAGATCTAAAATACGAAATTGTTGGTAATGAATCTAAACGCTCCTTCTAAATTGAATTTGAAGTACATTGTAACGACTTGTCTCCGTCTCTTTCTCACTTGCTAATAAATATCGGTTTCAGGGGATGATTTCTACCTATATTATACCTAGTTCGGAGATCAGATATAATATGCCTACGATTTATAATAAGGACCTGTATATACGATGGAACTTTTGTGTAAAACCTAAAGTGAGACATTTTAAATTATCGGCTTACTCATGTGAATAAATTGAGAAAAGTTCAACTAGTTTCTAAGCACAACGGGACTCTTGTTCAACTAAAAGTAATTCGAGTTACGTTACACCGTAAGCGTAAGCGCGTCAAAGAGCCATCAGCCCACCACGGATGGGGCCCAATAGGGCTGATGCCGATTCAGAGTCGCGGAGAACCTAACGGGTCACCGGGGCTTCGGCTCGAAGTGCAGGAGAAGGAACGGGGTGGTATTTAGTCAGTAAGAGTCTGACACTCCTTCCCGCCTCACCCAGGCGAGAGCAGTCATTCGATGATGTTCCCTCGTTAAAAAAAAACGCCTCTTGTAAACATCGCTACTTGTTTATTCAACTAAAATCACAGTCACCCATTAATTGATAGTTTAAATTGAAAACAAATAAAGCAAATATATAAAGCTTAATAAATCCCGTGAGAATTTAACAGATTGTTAGCATAAACAAGTAAAAGATAAGTAGCTATGTATGTATGTACGTAATAATATGCTGTTCTTAGAAAACGAAATTGATAGCTTCAAGACAACAAACAAAACGGTATAGTAACAAAACTTTACTAATATATTTAAGAAGAAAAATTTGTTTGTTTGTTTGCATTGAATCGTTTTGGAAAATTCTTTTATCATTAGTAAACTGCATCGTTATTGAGCTATATATAGGCTACATTCTACATTACATAACGCCTTTTATCCCCGAAGGGGTAGGCAGACTTGCACATTACGGCACTTAATGCTACTGTACAATGTAACACCCTCATTTTACTATTTATGTTATGAGTCCCATGTAATAGAGGGTGAACCTATTGTGGCTAAATTATATTAAAATAAAAATCTGCCCAGTATTTTTTAAGTGGACGAAGTCGCCGGCAAATGCTAGTTATATAAAGGAGAAATTCAAAAGGTTTACTTTGCATAAATATCTAGAACTGACGTTTAAATATCTTTGTATCGCTATTCAGAATATACAAACATTCTCTAATTGGTTAATTGCAAATATTTGTACCTCCAGTTTGTAAATACGTTTACATTTTACTCTCAGAATAATTGTGTAGAATATCTACTAATGGCTATAGGTACAATTAAAATAAACAATTGACATTCTATCTTGTAATTTAAATTTGGTAACGTTTATTTGTTTAAATAAATCAAAATTGTAGATTATTTTTAAATATTTTTTATTAAAATTAATTACTGATTGTTCTCATTATAATTATTGTTTTTATTATTTATAACTTACAGCAGGTAGTTCTGAAGTATTCATATCACGTTATTGTTGTTCAGCAAATTTTTCATCGGGTAACTTACCTGAAAAACAAAGAAAAAAAAACATAAGTTTACAATAAAAGTACTAAAATTACGTAATTATTAAAACTGTATTAAGATTTAATGTGTTTAATAACAATATCAACATTTCATTATTAAGTAACTTTTTAAGGATTTAAAAATCTGAAGAAATGATATATGGAACTTTAAAAAAAAATACATAGAAACGAGTAGAATTAATTTTAAACCATTTATTTAGAGTGCAATTAATTTAGAATCCAATTGATTAAATTTCAAGTGTCATGTTTGTAGACAATGGTTGAACGCAGTTTGTAACAGATGACATTACAAAAGTTGTGTTACAAATTGTAACAACTGGCGTAATAAGTCATTGTGTTATTTAACTTAAGTGTATTGTTAACAACTGTCACTAGAAATTGTTCAAAAGGAGTCTTGTTATGTGAGTGTAGGCGAAAACAATTGAAGTAATTTTATGTTTTTAATTGTGAGTACATATTTATCATGTTTTACTTGAATTTAGATTTTTATCCCTAAAGTGTGCCTTATTAGATATTTTTAAGGACTTTCATACAACTTTTGTTACCTACATTGTCATAGAAATTACATAGGTATTGTTGTTTTAATAAACACAGTAAACAAGCATTGGTAAATGTGAATTTATTTCTTGTGAACTTATTCTTCATGCATTTTATCGTTTTGCAGTAACGTGTTTTCGTTGAGTTTATATTTGGTGGTTTTAAATTCCGCCTGTGCTCTAAATAAATTATAGCGTAATTAAGGCAAATAGTCTAATTAGAGCTCTTTTTTTAATCTTCCCTGGAATACACGATTATGTTTTGATTTTAACGCAATGTAAATTCAGAAAGCTTTTTTAAAATCCAGTTTTTATTCAGTACAGTAAAGTCAGATTTTCACGATTTAAAGTCTTGTTTTTTGAATGCATGCTTTTAGTCCTAGAAGCAAATAGTTTTAGCAAGTCCCGAGTGAACAGGTTGCTCATAGGTAGGCGTACTCCATCGTCGGCCACATCATCGCTTACCATCAGGCGAAATGGTGATCAAACGTCGACCTATAAAGTATAAAAAAACCTCCAATCATTTTTTGGCACTGTTTAAAACAATATCGACTGCCTCGTTGACCGAGTGGTAGCAAGTGTGACTGCCAGGTAAGGGGTCTCGGGTTTGATTCCCGGGTCGGGCTAAGTATTATTGGGTTTTAAAAAAAATCTCAGTAATAGCAGGGAGTCTGAAATTGTGCTCGGTATATGGCAATAGGCTCACCCCATATTACATGGAACTCATAACACATAACATCACGCCTTATATCCCGAAAGGGGTAGGCCTCTGCCTAGTGCACAGCGACTTTTCATGTTATAACATAAATAGTGAAAAGTGGATGTTACATTGTACAGTGGCATTAAGTGCCGCAGATAATGTGCACCTCTGCCTATTTGTGGGCATAAAAAGCGTAATGTTATGTTAAAACAACATATTTCTTTATAATATAATATCAATAGTAATCAATTGTATGAACACGACAATCCCGTCATCACTCACAACACAATAATGTAATAATCATAAATTAAACGTTAACGATGGCTCAATCAACCTCTAGTTAAGTAATGACTTCGAGTTACCGACTTGCGAATAACATCTCTACACACATACAAATAACATACATGTATTTATATATCTCCACGGCAGGAGTAAGTACCAGGAAAGCAGGACCTTTGAGAAAATCAATATGCCTCGCGTGTGAATGTGTCTACGATGTTTTATTTTTTGTGATGATAGAATGTCAGTAATGTATAGCGATGAAAGAAATGCCAGATGTTTATTACCTCTTTGTAAAACATGCGCCCCTGGTACTTTAAGTTCCAATATGTCAAGAGATAATTGTTTTTGTCTGTTTACAGTACACTCGACTATAATATTTCATTTTATTTTCCCAAAGCGAGGAATTTAACGTTGCATGTTCAGCAAGTTTGCAGTTCTAGAACAATGATGCACTATCTATCATACAGCAGTATTACCCACAGTATTAATACCAAACTTGGCTCAAGACCAGATTTGGCATGAAACGTAACTTTCATTACTCCAGGAGGACTCGTAAACACAACGTTATTTATTAACCAATAATTCTATCTTCAATTATAAACAACGTTGCGAAAGTAGGGATAACATCACACCGCCCATTATGGGAAAAGTTTTATAATCACACACTAGTGATGCGAAAAACAACGAGATATATTTTTCCCAGGATAACACCTATTCCCAGCATCGTATAAGTTTGACTATACTTGTTAATGTGAGTTACTAGTTTACGGACGTGTCAGTTCGCGCGGGAATTCGATGAGACTCGAACCGAACTTTGTTATGTGACAGAACTGAAAGATGCATTTTAAAAACGACTCTTGCTCTTTGCCGCAAGACCTAGAATCGGTTTTGTAGCGCTTGTTTACTGAACGTTTCGTTGCAATTTCGTTGACACCTTTTATTTGGTGTTGAGGATTAAATTAGAGACGTTCGTGTAACAATTTGTCAGCCTTATCCCTGGTAAATACAAGAAAAACATTTACCTGTCTCATCCCTGACACGATTGTCAACAGAGATATTGATCGTAATTTCCACCTTCAAACGAGGCTCGAGTAAAACGATTAATCCGAAGTTAACTCGTAAAACAAACACTTAAATTGTAAATAAACAGAAGTAAGGACAGCAAACAGATAATATTTCGATTATTCCTAATCGGTACTCTACTATCGATGTTCCATATAGACGTCTTGCGTAATAGCCAAAGTTACGTAATTAATGTTCCACAATAGTCGTAATTACGACCCGGGCGGTAATTAGCACACAGAAATGTGGTACGGCTCAATCAAATATAACGACATCACCTATCCTGATTGCTTCTTGCGACTAATTCTGCGCTAAATACGTTGGTAATGGTAACACACGGCTCTAATCGAATGGTCAGCGCTTTGTTAGATATTGGGTGCGTGTACTAGAAGTGACAGCTAAAAAAATGTAGACGTCATATTATAAAAATATTCATAACATTTTTTACATAAATCGATTGGAAAAAATGATATTCCCATCGCAATTCCCAACTGTCATGTCGTCCGAACGTTATTCAAATGGTGAACGTTCTAAATGTGGAACGTGTCATTCGCAAAGCGCCGGTTTAGAAGCAGTGTATAACGACCCCCGTTCGTATGATTACTTTTGTTTCCAACAACAGATGTCCGGAATAGACGTTGATAGCAGTTTCGATTGGGACAAATCGATTCGTATGTTTTGAATTATCACCGAAAATCGGACCCCAAAAGCGATGAAATGGGCGTAGTTTAGGAAAAACAGCTGTCTACCTGGAACTTGGAATTGTTAAGCAGAGGCCTTAATACGAGATTTATTTACGTTTAAACTGTCAAACACCAAGCGGTCACCGGTGACCGCAACCTTTCTTTCTTTAATTGTGTTTATAAATACGGTACTCGACGAGTTAAAACGCGTTTAACGCGTGCGGCGCTCTGATTGGCTAGCACCAATGAACCAACCAATCACAGCGCCGAACGCGTACTCGTTACGATTACTTTAAACGTAAACCAAACTCGAACTAAGAACTCAGATTGTTTTATAATCACATTAACTATTCCGTAGAGGATTCAGCAGGTCTTAGTCTGTCGTCAATGGAACCACACACTCAACAACACAAAGCAAGTAATTTATATACAGTGCTCGCTCCGAATGTACCAAAACTAAGAGACTGCATTAAGACAGTATGACGTCGCAGATTAACATATTAATCAGACGATGGAAGCAGGAAGTCTCTCAGTCTGTACAGAACGCGGGAATGTAGTTTGCAAACTTTTAATTACAGTAGGAGCGATACAAATTGACTTCTATTACTTAGGGTCTTAGATTCAGATTGCATGGAAGTGTCTGTTTCAATCATTTATAAGTACATTCGTTTGAGTGTCCCACGGCTGCATCATTCTAAGCGAAATATTTATAAGGAGATGACAGTAATAGAGACTTTGGAATTACGGTTTAAGCAAAATTCAGTGAGATAGACGAGCTGAAAGAATGTTATGAAACATTAAGACCCTTAAATGTATAGTTACATAAGGATAATATGATCTATGACAAGACGTGTAATAGTTACATAAGGATAATATGACCTATGACAAGACGTGTAAGTCATAAAATACTTCGGCAAGATATAAATAAAATAATGTAGTTCACCGAAGTCATACGCCAAAGCTCAGTCAGTCGGAGTCGATCCATCAAATAACAGGTGAAAACAGGCCAATATCGGGGTGTCGCAGAAACAAATCGAAAAACATCTGTGTAACGACAACACTATCAGCTGACGGCCATTTTTTCCACACACACACGTACAGGAAAAAAACTGGCCCAAATACGTTACAGAGGGAAAATCATTAGTCACTCGAAAAAAAAAATCGTTGAGAATGAATGACGCTTTAGCTCACTCAAGTTGCCAGCTGTTTCCGTTGCACAGCTGATCGACCGGATATTGGCTGTTAGAGAGACTATCCCCCTCCCTTTCCCACATCATATCCTCTCTTTCGCGGCTTTTAATTTTTTACTCCCATTAATGAGGCAATGAACGTGAAATGAAGTTTTAAATATCGAACGTGTAGTAACGACTTTTTGCGTCATCATTGCGGATTTTGTGGAACATAGGTTAGAGGCGTTAAAATACAAACGAGGTGAATAACTCTTTAATGATAAAGAGCAGTATATTCAAAACTTATAATGAACGTCATGCGACAAGCAGCAGTATAATGAAGTAATTTACCCTACTAATACTAAGTTCAATAATAAAAAGTTGCAAACGAAACTTAAATTATACTATCAGAGTTCGAAGCAAACAATTTTCACTGTGTAGCGTGATGGAGTCGAAACAAAAGTATTGCAACATCGTGCCGCACACGCGATTCGAATGCGGCGTTTGAATTTTTAAAATTAAAAAAGGAACTGCTTTATTGCAGTTTTAGATTTTAAAAAGTTTGTAAGCGGCAAAGGTTTTTTAATAACGAGCCTCTATAGTACAAACTCATTTTTTGACGTTAACATATTTATCGCGCTTACTGGCTGAATTTTAGTGTAGTGTATAAAAATAAATAGATGAATATAATGGTAGGAATGTGTTATATACATGAAAATAAATACCACGAGCTCGTAAAGTGAATAAAGAGCTATTTATTAGGTTTAAATTTTTAAAAATTTACTTATCTTTACAAAATATTTAACGATAGCAAATTATTCAAAAGTTCGCCATCGATTTTCAAGAATGCGAAGCCCAATTTATCTGTTAAAAGTTAATTTTCGTTACAAATTCGAAGTGTTTAAACTTTAACATTGTTTTCTTAAGAATTACTTGAACTTTACGATGTACTCTCAGCCATTATGTAATAATAAAACAAGCAAAGTTGGTAGGTATTTTAATCAAAATATTCTTAGAAAAAATAAAACGTAAAAAAACATTGTTTGATATAAATTCATACTAATGACGCAGAAAAAATTATTATGTTGATCGTATTTGTAAAAATTTTGTACGTCCGTTGAAAAAATATTTTAAATACAAATAATCCTAAATTAAATTGACTTTAAATATATTAATTAAAATTTTACATGGATACATGTGCATCATATTGGACATAATCAAATGTCTCACGAAAGTTACAGTACAAATATTGGACATAGTTTATCTATGGGAATGTTTCTAAATAGTTTCAGTAATTTGAACAATAAATACTAATGAAGTCGGTCAAAAACAAGGCGCTCTACAGTTTTCATTGGAAAATATACTCAAAGGTGCACATAATTTTAGTACGAATTTTAAAGTGAAAAGTTTTGGACAGTTTGAGACGGAAGTTACGAAGTTTATTAATAAACAACAAATTTTTGGGAATAATGAATTAATTTACATGTTGTTCCGTTTAAAATATTCGGATTTTCTAATAATAATTTTGCATTAACTGAAGACAAAGTGATTCTGACATTTACATTATTTCATTTAATTTATAACATAAT